CTTTAAGTGTTATGTTTTTATAACTCCTGTTCATTAGTCAAGCTTGGTTGGGGGAATGTTTGTGAAAAACAAATAAGTTTTTGTTCAAGTTCACCGTATTTTAGGTAGAAAGCAACAGTACAAAACAGATGTATGTCTTCATGCGTTCTTCAATGAGGCAATAAAATATATCGTTTAATTTAAACATTTGGTGACATGTGGCAGTCCAGGTGGGCTGAGCTTGTTATGTCGTCTTCTTGCTAGATCTGTAAGCTACGAAACGTACTTTACCTGCGTTTTCAGCTAGGTGCAATTATCATGTACGGGAGTGTGGGTTCCAGGCCGTCACATCTGTGTAAAGTGTGTTAGCTTCGATTGATAAACCATATATATATTCTGAACACGCACGTAGGTTTATGAAACAGTTGGTGTTGCTTTTCCTGCTTCGTTATTAATCCAGTTCGCGTTGCTTGTGTCCGTAGTGAGATGATAAGCAAAGCTGTATTTTCCCAAGTAACTAATACTGTACAGTGAGGAAATATTAACAAACATATAATTACCATTTTCAAATTAAACTATTTTTCAACATCTAAGGTGGTATATAATGGAAAACACAATAAAGCGCTGGTTATGAAATATTTGCATAAATTTCTAGCGCGTGATTAACCTGAGTAATTGTTGGACAAGCTGATCTTATAACCCATTAATGATAATATTAACTGGCTTATAACATGATTTATTTTACTCTTATGTAATTAACCTTAAATTTCGTTGCTTAACCCTTAATCTTACCTTAGGACCCAATACTTAAAAGTTGATTGTCCTATTGCCTGATGTACGCCACTGTTTAAGTCATTAATAATTAACCTCAAGTTTCAGCACTTATTTTGTTTAGTTACATCAGAATGGGTTCTAAGCATTCATTTAGTACACTTTAAAATAACAAACAATCTTCCTTATAAGGAATACCCTGCATAATGTTTTACAACATACGTATTAATAACTACAAATTTTCTTTCAATTTTAGTGTATCCACTGAGAAAAGAAGTAGAACATGTTAGAACTCGTTCATTACTGCCTGATTTTGAGAATTCTGTTTGTTGTGCCCGACATGGGTATCGAAACCCCTGTTTCTTTGTTATAAGCCATCAGATTTACCGCTGAGCCACAAAATAACTTGGTTGGTATTGTTCGTTATTAATAAGATATGGATGTTACAGGTAACAGTTTGATCTTTGTCAGGTAATAATAGTATCGGAATTCAGATAGTCCAGGTCAGAAAGTTTTTTATTATTGTGATTGTGTGTATGTGAGAGGGTGGTGGAAATTTTTAGCTTGATCCAAATTTCATTATGTTACGTTATGATAAGAACGTTTGCTAGTGCGAATGTTTACCCAGAATATTATAAAAACAAACCCGACAGTAGTTAACCTGTTACCCAGGATTTTATATCAACAATAACAACAACAAAAACCCTAGTTATCCCCCTATCCAAGATATTATTACTATAACTAGAGGGGCACTCATTACAGCCCATACCTCCACCACGCAGCGTTGATCATATTCGACTCTCAAAAAATAAGAAAATGTGTTAGTATGTCCATCGTTATCATCAGACTCGGACTGTTTTTGGCAGTGTAATGAGGAATAATATTCTACATGTACCCACTAAGTTTCATCAAAATCCAATAATTTTTGACTGAGTTATAGAGAAATAATAGTGTGAAAAATCGGTCCCCATGTTAACAGATACGGATTTTTTTATTTTAGTGACCTTGCAGCGACTTTAATCTTTGACCTTGACCTTCCAAGAAATAATCGCTTTTGAGCTTTGTAATAGTCCAAATGTATACCAACTTTCGTCCAAATCCATTCAGCCGTTTTCGAGAAATGAGAAATATTACTGACAAACACACACACACACACAGGGGTGAAAATATAACCTCCATCCACCGTCGGTGGCGGAGGTAAAAATACTTGCCAGTAGCTACCCTGCTACTAAGTATATTATAACTACAAAAAAAAACAGCATACCCGAGAGCAGTTACTCTGCTACTAGGATATTATAACTACAGAAAACATACCTGAAAGTAGTTGCTTACTAAACTAAGCCAGTTTTACATTTATCTTGTGACATTACATGCTCAGGAACATGTCACGATATAATGTCAAAAGGTCAAACAGACCAAGTATAGCACGATAATTACTAAAAGATAATTACATTATAGTTTTCATGGGCCACTATGAAATGTAGGGGTTAAACTTAAGTGAAAGACCAATTAGTAGTATCTATATGATAATATATTTAAACATTATGAGGCATCATCGCTAACTTCAATAAGTTTCCAGCATTTCCTCTTTCCGTTAACTGTGGCAACCCATGTCACGAGATGGAAATTATGAGTATCATAGGTTGCTGTGCCGGAAGACGAAACAAGGAAACTAATAATGGTACAGCACGTTATCGGTTGTTGATTTTATTGTTCCCCCTCCCTTGAAATCAAACTGTCTTATCTATTTAACATATCAGTAAAGTGCAGTGTTAGTTCTATTTTACCTGACCGCGTGGTATCAACAACTCTCTCTTAAAAAACACTCTTTCCAGCAATATATATCTTACTGATTATAGCTCATATCCTGTGTATTTTTGAGTATAAGTAAAATATGGATTTCTAAAGACAGAGTACTTAAAAATTCTGCCACAGCTTATATCCGACATGTTTTTGAACAAAAGAAACACATGGTTATCTAAAGAAAACTTACTTAAGGATTCTGCTGTTTCTCAGTGTCAACAACACTGTTTCATTTTAGAGCGGTCACTCTCAGTACGTACGTTGATCAGAATCGAGGCCGGAATTTCCATATACAAAACATTTATTTGTGCTTGGAAGTTTCAATGGTAATTGACATATTTAAATTTATTAGATACATATAATTCCTTTTACATTTCACATTTTGTTTACCGATATAATTTTAAGATACACACACGTCATTTTAATTCCAATTTTGCAACAGAATACTTGTTTTCTATTTCAACATTTTGGAAAATTAGGGTTAAAAACTGTCACCTTTCTGGCTTATAGTGTATTATATTAATGTTACCAGTCAAAATATTAAAGTCTGCATGTTACTTTAGATGAATCACATTTCATCCAAAATAACCTTTTTCGGTACACTGTGTTCAAACACAAGATTATTAAATATATATTTTATTATAAGTTACTTATAGACTAATGATGATTAAAGTTCTGTTTTTACTCTCAAGTAACTTACAGTGTAGTGACGGGGAAAATCTTGATATTGTACTGTCTAATTACTTATAACGTAGAGATAGGAAAAGTCCTGACATTGTGCTGTCTAGAATATGTAGCGTTGTAATAGGAAATGTCTTGTCGTTATACAGTCAATTTACTTAAAGTGGAGTGATGAAGAAAGTCCTGACATTGCATCATCACTAGTTTGACAGTGCAATGTCAGGAAGTTCCCATCACTACACTATAAGTAACTTGACATTAACATTTCAGGACATTTCCTATCCCTGCACTACATATAACATGACAGCACAGAATGAAGTTCTTTTCCTCTCACTACACTATAAGTAATCTGACAGTACAATGTCTGGACTTCTCTGTCACCACTCTATAAGTAAGTTTATAGAACAATATCAGGACTTTACAACACTTTCGGAGTTATAGATCATCAAACAGCCTCTAATGGGAGATTGTACAAGACCACCTCCAGAACAAAATTATTGTTCTTTAAAATCTGCGAAGAGTAATCATACGATTAACGTTATAAGGCAACTAAAGAAAAAAAATTTGAAAAGGTCTCCGAGATGGATTAATTTTACTTGTAATGTGTCATCCTCGAGAGTTTGAAACGAAGATAGTAAACCATTGTTTCATGCATATTTCTATAGGGAATTCAGAATACAGACCAGTGTAGGAGTTTTAACCATTTCCAAACCTTCCAAATAAAACAAAATAATGTAGATTTTTTTTGGTTGGTTGATTGTTGTTAAGCACAAAGCTATTTAATGAGTTGTCTATGCTTTGGCCAAAACGTGTATCGAAACCCAGTTTTTAGTGTTGTAATCTTCAGACTTTCTGCTGAGCTACTGGGGGAATGGGGGCTGTAGATTTAATAACTTAGGTTTATGCTTTAGCTTTAGCTGCCTGGTTTTCAAGCTGACACTCCTGGTATAAATATGTCAGAGTTAACACCAGCTGTAAAGATCCTATATATGCATGTTTCTCACAAAGCACACATCACGTTCTTAAACAATGTTTATATAAAGACTACTCTTACAGACAGAAATATCCTGGTGGTAGTATTGAGGGATTCACTCTATATCAGCATTCCTTTTATCTTCTCTGAGTCTCTACAGGTTATCAAGGATTGATTAAAAGACATTTATAACATCATATTACGTAAGCTTATGTATAAAAAAAGAGATGCAACTGTTCAGCTGACGCTAAGCTGTTATACACAGAAAAGTCACTTTGCTCCAATAAATGGTAAGATGGGCCCGGCATGCCCAGGTGGATAAGGCACTCGATTCGCAGTCTCATTATATCAGAAACTGAGATATATCAGTGGAAAGAAAGAATTCATATAGTTTGTACTTCTACATCTTGTACATTGTCAAAACTTCATCACCCACATAGCTTTCCCACAGTTGGACACTTAGGTTTTAACAATACACTGGAGAGAGTAAGAGAATGCTTCTATTGGCTTGTATGCTTGGATCTGTAAATAATTGGTATAAATCATCTGAACTATGTTGTGAGTGAAAAAAGCTATGAAAGAATCAGCATAGAAACTTACAGTAGTACTGTATTGGAAAACCACTTGAGAGGGTTGCTAGTGATGTGTATGGTCTTCTGCGATAGAGTAACAGTGAGGATATACATCAAGGTTGTGATGCACTATTTTACCAAATGGCCATAAACATATGATTTTCTATGCAGAAGCAAAACCTCAAGCAATGAAACTCATCAATGAGCTTCTTTAAAGATTTATGGTAGCTAAGAAACTTCACTCAGATCAGGGACGGAACTATAAATCAGTATTTTTAGTGGAAACGTGTCAACTCCTTGGAATAGAAAAGACTAGGATGACAGCTCTTGATCCATTTTCTGATGGCAAGGTGGAGAGATACAATCATACTTTTTTACACCAATTAGCCATTTATGTGGAAGAACATAAGAAAACATGGAACCAAGATCTTAGACTGCTACTTATGAGTTATGAAACGGCATTATTACTTAAAGTGCCATTGGACCTTTTGTACTCACATCTGGAGGATAATCATCCAGCAGCGTCGTACACAGGGTATGCAGAAGGACTAAAGCACCCAATTAATGCCATACATTACTTTATGCAAGAAAGACTTAAATTAGCTAGTGATAGAATGAAAAGACACCATGAGATTAATGCTGATAAAATTGGATTTCGTCAAAGTATGGTATGGCTGTACAAACTGCTACACGAGAGAACAGTGAGAGAACAAACTCTAAAGTTAAGCAGGTGTTTGGAAGGACCGTACCTTGTGCGGAAAAGAATCAATGATGTGGTTTACAGAATTCACAAAGACAGATGATCTAAGCAAAATCTAATATCATATAATATAACCTATAACATATAATCGTAGGGCAACAAGGGACCCATTGTTCCATTAAGGTCATCTCATCTACTAAACTAAACTTTAAAATGAAAATATAACACTCAAAGCCAGCTCTTATATTTCAAATATTGATCAAGTGTTTCTTTAAACTCCTTTAGATTATCTACATCCACCTCATCTAAAGGCAACCCTTTCCAAAGGCTAACCACCCTGTTATAAAAATAAAGTTGTGTTAGCTGAATATGACTCCTTCTCTGTCAAAATATATATATTTGTGTTTCCTAGTCCTACCATTCTCACAGGCCCAGCATGGCCAGGTGGTTAAGGCACTCGACTCGCAATCTGTGGGTCGCGAGTTCGAATCGTCGTCACACCAAACATACTCGCCCTTTCATTGGGGGCGTTATAATGTGACGGTCAATTCCACTATTCGTTGGTAAAAGAGTAGCCCAAGAGTTGGCGGTGAGTGCTGATGACTATCTGCCTTTCCTCTAGTCTTACACTGCTAAATTATGGACGGCAGATAGCCCTCGTGTAGCTTTGCGCAAAATTCATAACAAGCCAAACCAAAATAATTCTCACAATTAAGTACAAAAGAAAATTATGCATCAACACTATCAATTCCCTTATCAATCTTAAACACCTCAATCCGATCTCTCTAGCTTTCCTTTTTCGAGAGAAAAATATTTCAGAGATCTTAACCTCACAACCTTTCCATCCCAGGCGACAGCCTAATTAATCCTCCTCTGAACCCTTTCCAATAATTCAGTGTCCTTTCTAAGATAAGAAGCACAAGACTGAACACAATACTCCAAATGTAACCTAACCAGTGGGTTAATAGACCTCTTTATACTTGTATATAATACTTCTACAGATGCAACTTAAAATCCTATTTGCCTTACTCCTTTCTGTTTGTTAGTAAACATAAAGAATATCTATATGAAACAATATTCTTCACTGAGAGTTTGTGGATTTTCCCGTATAATTTTTACTGATCATTACAGTACAAATTTACTGCCTGTCTTGGTTTGATTTGTTGGCTGTTACCCACAAAGCTAAACACCACGAGTAATAGAAACTAGAATTTTGTAGTTTTACGCCTGTAGGCTACTATCTGTCTACAGTACCTTTTGAGTAGAATAGCTCCAGCGTTTCATTGTCTTGTATTATGATATATACGTATATATATCTATGGAAAAGCTATGACTTCACTAGTTTGTATAGGTAGTATGAGTATGTATAGTCACGTGATTTTACTGATTTGTACAAACAAGTTATCTACACATATCCATGTAATTTCAATGGTTTCTAGTACAACTAGTTTGTATAAACAATGTAAATATGTATATCCGTGCGATTTCAGTGGTTTGTATACAAACAACTTACTTAGGTATATCCATGTGGTTTCGTTGGCTAAAAGCACAATTATGATGACGTTATTTCACTGCTTTATATGAATGATTTACCTATTTAACAAAAGTCACGTGAATTCATTGGTTTGTTGGAACAATTTAACTACCTTAGCCACATGATATAACTGGTTTGTACGAACAACTTACATACGTATAGCCTCATGATGTTACTGGTTTGTAGGACAATTTACTCACGTATAGCCACATGATGTAAATGGTTTGTAGGAACAACTTGCCTACATGTAGCCTCATGGTGTCACTAGTTTGTAAGGACAAGTTACCTACTATAGCCATATGATGTAACTGGTTTATACAAACAATTTATCTACGTATAACCAAATGATGTAACTTATTCGTAAAAGTGAATCTGTTTGATTAACGTTTAATTCAGGACGTATCTTATGAATCCACAAACTTTCCTTCGTGCATTAGAGCAGTTAATGGTGTCAGTGTTGTCAAGTTCATGTGTCACAATTAGAGCAGTTAATGGAGTCAGTATTGTCAAGTTCATGTGTCACAATTAGAGTAGATAACGATGCCAGAATTGTTAAATTAATGTGTCATAATTAGAGTAGTTAACGGTGCCAATATTGTTAAGTTAGTGTGTCACACCTAGAGCAGTTAACGGTGCCAATATTGTTAAGTTAATGTGTCACAACTAGAGCAGTTAACGGTGCCAATATTGTTAAATTAAGATGTCTCAAATACAGCATATAAAGATAATTAACTAATGTCAGTACAGCGTCTCATGATTAATAAGAATTTAGTAAATGTCACTTTCGTCATTCTTACGTGCTACGATTGGCAGAAAATAAGTAACTGCTACTGTAACGTGTCTTATATGTTACGACAATTAACTGTCATACCGCCATTCTTCAGTGTCATGATTAATAAGAATTAAAGGGTAATTCGATGGTTGACACAATAGCAACTAAAAATGTGAAATGAATGCAGACACGTTGGAAAATAATTTAATTAACTTCCCTATTTGAATATCAATATCTTCCTTTACTTATGCAATGACTTGCTCTTGAGGCCGCCATTTCCCCATCATCCTTCTCTGTCGTGACTCACAAGAGTGCAGAAAGATTCGCGTATGTGATTGGCTGAGTGGGACACACGTTTTTGCTCATACTATGTGTTGCAGAAATTTATGATTAGTGGTAGTTCAAATCCACGGGAAAATGTGCAACGATCTGTAGAGATTGTAAACAGCTATCCGCGAAGAAATTTGGAAATTCTGCTCGATTTTGTGCAGCATGTTCTGGGTTTAATCCTCGCAATAATAATGGATTATTGTTTGTTTTATGTTAATCGCGAAGCTATACATTGGACAATACGTTCTGTGGATTAACAGAGAACTGTAAACCTAGTTGACATTACTATATCAAACATATGTTTTCAATTTAATGTACCAAATATTTTGCAACTAAAATCTAAACAAAAATAAAGAAATATAATTTATACATACATTACAAATAATTCTCTACAATTCTGCAATACATAATGGACGTTAACTTACAGTAATTTGACTTACACATAATTAAAGGTATGTTTTTATATGTTTGGTGTTTATTATTACAAAAATTAGCTTTAAGTTTTTAATTTACAGGCGAGTTACTGCCTCTGCTGCTCAGTTCATCTTCTCTCCCCCCCCCCTTCCCAGTGACTTAACCGTAAATCAACATGCTTACGACGCTAAAAATCGGATTTCGATATGAGCACAGTTAGTCATTCTGTAACTTTATGCTTGGCCAGACATACACACACACACCTATGATCACAAAAAACAACCACACTAGTACTAGTGATCTTACCTGTTTACTTTACATAAGCTGAATCTCTTTTTTTTTTCCCACACAGTGAAATAATTTCATTCTCATCTTCCATTATACTCCCTTATTCAGCTTTTTATTTTAGTTTGCTCCTCGCTGTCTCTTGACATGCGCATGGGTCAAATCTCAAATAGAAAAAAAAGTAGAGATGTCTATAACAGTGGGCCTACCTGTTTATCACTATTAACTCTCTCTCTCTCTATATATATATATATAATGTAATGTAGAGGAGGATGTAGTTTTAGATCCTTCGGTTTCGTTTCTTCAATTTTTGTTTTTCTGTGTTTTTTTTTAACACATCTTGATCTGATACGTTTCGTTGTATAATCTGAATTTTTTCTAGTTTTACGTAAAGCTACGCAATAGGCTGCCTGCGCTTTGTCCGCCACAGGTAATCAAATCCCGGACTGTGTAAGTCCGTGGTATTATCGCTGGCCCAAAAAGGGACTAAACTTAAAATAAAGCTATTAATTCTTGTCAAATCTTGTTCAGTTGCGTTAATGATCCAAGTACATAAAATAGGCATCAAATTCAAACGTTAACAGGGTAATTGTGCCTATTTTAAAAAGAGCCCTTTATATATGTCTTAAGAAACAGGTGTTATTCAAACACTGAAACAAGTGTTGTTTATGGTAAAATACTTCCACCCGCTTTCGCAGTTACTAGACATCACTGCATCAGACAACGAACGAAGGTTGCCTAATTACAGCTTTAAAAACAGGTACACTTGAAAGAAATAAACACCGAAAATGAAGAACCACAGTTATGATGTGGCTAGTTTCCAAGAAGAGTTTGTTTGCTTGTTGAATTTCAAACAAAGCTACTCGAGGGCTATATGCGCTTTCTGACTAACTAGACTTTGTTTCTAAGCTAGAGGAAAAGCAGTTAATCAACTCCACCTACTGCCAAATCTTGAGAAAAATCTTTACCAACGAAAAAGTGGGTTTAAACACTGAAAATCCGATGAATTGTTTAAAGCTATTAGGATTAAAATTGTTTTAAAAATCAAGTTAACAGCATGTTTTTCTCTTACATGTCTCTTAATTTGTTCATTACGGCTCAAAATCAGAGGTGTGTTAAAATAGCATTTCAGATTTTTCTTTTGTCTTCCACAAGTCGCGCCCCCCAGTGGCACAGCGGTATGTCTGCGGACTTACAACGCTAGAATCCGGGTTTCGATACCCGTGGTGGGCAGAGCACAGATAGCCCTTGTGTAGCTTTGTGCATAATTTAAAAACAAACAAACAAACAATCCACAAGTCGCTGCCCAAGAAGTTTTTCATTTAGCGCTAGAACTTATCAGTTGGGCTGGACGATGAGAGACAAAAGTATATGAAATGCTATTTATATGTGGATTATAAAACTTTAAAAGTTATGGTTTAAATGACGGAAGCCGACGAACTATCGGAAACCAATACGCCTAAAAATTGTTATAACAATAAAGTTACTGCAGATCTGAAATTCTATCTTTGTACACCTGTGATTTTGAGCCGCAACGGACAAATTAAGAGAAATGTGAAAAAGAAATATGAAGTTAACTTGATCTTTATAACGAGAAGTGGGATTGACCGCATATTATAACGCACCCACGACTGAAAGGCGAGCACTTCGGAGACAGGTTCAGATCTTGCAACAAGCATGTAGATTGCGAGTCGAGCGCCCTAACCACCAGACCATGCCAGATCTCCAGGAAGTGAACGCAGAAACCTCTCAAATGCTAACAAAAACA